TTCTCCTTAGCGACTTCCCTAAGTGCCTTATCTCCAAGACACAAGATTATGGCACTTCTGGCTTTGTTGATCATGTCTGTCTTCTCATTCTGAGACAGAGATGCAGGCATGTTCGACTCACCCTTCAAAGCTTCAGCGCATCCTTGCTGTTTCAAGATAGCCTCCATCTTTATCTTCCATAAACCGAAGTCATTATCGCCGAAAAACTTCTGAATGTCAAACTTGGTGGCCATCAGTAAAACTTAAAAGTCTTTCTTTCGTTCTTGTTCCCATAAACGGCGCCAATTGTTAGGTTCGACGTTTAACAGTAACTCAAAAACGTAAAAGAACAAGAACAGAAAGAAACTTGTTGTATTTTCTTGAGAGAGAATCCCACCCATTCTATTTCTTTCTTTACATATTTATAAGCTCTATAGAATAGAGCAACCGAACGTACAAGAAAAAAAAACTAACAGAAAAAACTGTTTTAGGTAGTTACAACTAAAAGTATGATTTAAGAGTCTAAACATCACAATGTTAATCATTGTAATGTAAGAATTTTGTGATGCCTCTAGTCTTAAGATCAACTTTGATAAATTCAAGACAATGTGTTTGAAGGGTTCCCTCGCCAAAGCATGATACTTTTTATGGACTCACTTCCATTCATTTTGTTTCAAATCTAGGAATCTACCTTGGCTTTCTTTTTACCAAAGGTAGACTGAATAAAATAACTTTCCTCATTTACTTGAGAAAATTCACAAAAAGGTGACAACTTGAAATGGAAAACTATTTAACGATGGTTGGAGGTTATACTATATAAGTAAAACTCAATTGATAGACATTAAAGATTTATTGTGATAATAATGTTATGCTCCTCAACCAAGGGGTTGAGACCTATGATATTTTAAAAGTTTGTTAGAACATGAAAATTGTGAGTTCTTTTAATATACTTAGTGAGAGTTTATTTCTTATGTCATTTTGTTGGACCTATTATTTTGAACATATTTGGTGTTTATTTTAAACATATTTTTTATTATATATCTTTGTATATGTGTGCATATTTGTTATATCAATTACCAAATTTAAAACTTAGTATTTTTAGAATCACCGTGCCAATGGCTAACACTATAGTGAACTTTAGTCATAGTTGTAATTTTGAACTCGGTGTTGTTGAGATCACTATGTCAATGGCCGATGCTATTTAGAGCAGAAGTCTTAATCAAAATTTGAGTTTAGTGTCATTAGAACCACTATGTTAATGGTCGATATCATTTGGAGTTAAGGTATCGTAATCAAATTTTGAGTTTGGTGTCAATGGGATCACTATGTTGATGATTGTGTCATTTGGAGCTAGAGCATTATTATCAAATTTTGAGCTTGGTGTCGTTAGAATTACTATGCTAGTAGTCGATGCCATTTAGAGGTATGGTACAATGATTTTTCAAAAGATCATGTAATTTCTCTAACTTTAAGAAATTTGAGATAAATTGTAACATATTGGAATGTTATTTTCTTGCTATAGTCCATATTAATGACTAATCTGTTGAGTTAATAATATTTATAATCATGGAAAGTTCTATAGCAATTATATATCAATAAATGATATAATTGTTGTGATTTAATATTCTTTGACTTTGATTGGATACAACCATATTTAGATTATGCTTTATGCATGTGTTTTTAAAATGTGACCACATTATAAAATTAGTGATGAGTTCGAGAGTCATTTTAAAAACATGCTTTTTTAATTAAAATTATACAATTAATTTTTTTTTCTAGTGAGAGAATGTTATAATTATCTAATAATTCTTTCTGTATTGCAAAATTATTGTTTTATTTTTAATAAAAATGTGCTAATTCACAAATCAGATAATGTGCAAATAAATAAGTCTTTAAGTGATCCATTTGTTTAGACTTGAATATCTATAATTGATTAGTGTGAATTAAATTATAGGTTTAAAGATAAGTACAACGACTTTTATTATAAAGATTATTATTATTATTAGTAGTATTAATATTTATAATTTTTTTACTATTTTAATTCATACAATCTTATGTGAATAATTTTTTACTTATTCCTAAAAGTAGAAGTGTGCTACTCTTACAAACTAGTAATATTTTAGATTATTCATTCATATGTGTAATTGAAATGAAAAATAGAAAGTAAAAAGATAATATTTAAATAAATTTATAGAGAGGTTTTTATATAAAAAAATTAGTATAAAAATAAATAAAAATTATTAAAAATAATTTTTTTAAATTTTAAAGAAATTAAATGATTGAACTTTCCATAACTTCATAAAAAAGTATAAGTTATTTTTATTTTATATGAAAAATTTTATTTATTATTTATTATTAATTTTTTTATAAGAACTTCTTGAAAAAAGAGTAAATATAATTATAATTAAGATAGAAAAATATAAATTTTATGAAATAAAGAGCTTATCAAAATTAGATATATAATTTCTTAATTAAATTTAATAAAAAATATTTTTTCTCTAATATAATTATTATATATTATTTAATAAAATGAGAAAATTGAAAATCATATTTAGAAATGACTCTAGCTTCTGGTGGTCGTAACGGGTACGGCTAAGCAAGTGAACATTATCCGTGTATACAATTAATAAATAATTTTATGTATGTCAAAGCCAAGGTCTGGACAAGAAATTACTTGGAAGACATAACATGAAAAAGTGAAGAAAAAAAAACTCATTTCTATTTACTTATTATTCGTTAAAAAATTATATATATATATATATATATATATGAATCTATTGCAAATAAAAAAACGTTTTCGGACCCACACGGTTTGTTGGAATGGCGCTTGATAATGAAAAAATCTGTATTATCAAATAATTTTAATTACACATTTATTTTAATTTGAATAGTATTCAAGTTTTTAAAGTTCTTTTCAATGAATTAATTTTCTTTAATATCAAAATTAAGCAATTTCGGCTCACTATTTTATTTTTATTTTAAATATTAAAAATATTATTTTATATTCAAATATTTGAAAACTTATGTTAAATTTCAAATATAAAATAATTTTAAAAATTTAGAAACAATGAATTTAATAAAATTTGATAAAATTTTTAAGAAAATTGTAAAATAGGAAATTAAGATTAAAAAATGGTAATTTTATTTTGAATATAATTTAATATACTGAATCTGTATATATTAATAAAAATTATAAATTTTAGCTTAAAATTTTATCAAAATATCAAATCTTACTTAATTTTAAAAATAGAAAAAATTCATTACTTTAAAAAGATTAATAATAAAATTGCACCGAAAGCAACTTAGCAGAAGAAAAGTACAATTACACCTACAAAATACCTAAACTGCATCTAGTCTAGGGATGCAGGGAAGTTGCCAGAAAAAGGCTGAGAAAAAATATATAAAAAAATAATTTTTTTTATGTTATATATAAGTTTAAAAAATTTTATACTTAATTTAAATATTTTATTTAATTTATTATAATTTATTATTTTATTAATTATTAAATATAAATAAAATAAAAGACTTAAATAAAGTATAAATTTTTTTAATTATAATTCTAATGATTTTATTATCACTTAAATTACTACTTTAGTTTAACATAAAAATTGTATTTTTATTTATTAATTCTTTAATAGTTTTAGTATTAAAAAAATAATATATTTTTTTGATGAGGAGAAATAAAATATTTATTATTATTATTATTATTATAGTTAATCTTGTTACCAAATAAATCAAGTAATAATCATTTAATTTTTTACTTTACAGTTATTTTCATTCAATGACTTATATATAAATATTTTTTAAGTTATTTTTATTCAATGACTTGTGTATAAATATTCTTTACTTTGTACATCAAATCAACTTTTTTCTCTGCAAACACTCAAATTGATCAAACGTTTTTCTTCAAAGAATACTGTTACCGTTTAATATGGTATTAGAGCAATAGAGCTCCACCACTATAGCCCTGCTTCGCATTATTATATGTTCTTTTAAGAAAAGATATATTACTTCTTCAATTTTATCCTAATTTTTATTATAAAGAGAAACTACCTAATTCACTATTTCTTGATTTATTTTATAACAAGATTAATTATTATAATATTTATTATATTTTAGATTTTATTAGTTAATAAAAAAATTATTATATACAAATTTTAAATAAGATAATTTTTAAACTTATTTTTTTTAAGAGATGTCATGAGATCTATCATATTTTAAATATTATAAAATTAATATAAATAATAGGTATAAGATGGACTATATGAGTTGTAATAGTGTTATAAAAGATTATAAAAATAAATAACTAATATAGTTTACTTCTTTTTATGAAGATGAATATGCTCTTTTATACTTAATTGAAAACAATATTTTAGAATATGCACATAATTAGATTGAAAAACTATCATATGATAATTTTAGAATTTGATTGTTTAAAATTTAAAAAGTTAACATAGTAACTCACAAATGAATTAATTTAACACTCTTGTCTAAAAATCTCTTTTACCTTCTAGATAAACTTCTATATACAATTTCTAAATATCTAATTCTAAACAGTTTCTTATTTTGTACTTTTTTTTTTGTTTTTTTTTTTAATTTGACACTCTTGACTAAAAATCTCTTTCACCTTCTAGATAAACTTCTATATACAATTTCTAAATATCTAATTCTAAACTTTGTACTTATTTTATACTTTTTTTTTCTTTATAAAAATTATTTAAACTCAATTTTTTAAAAGATTAAAGTTAATACTAATAATAATGTTATTATCATGATATGATATTTTAAAATTATATATTTATATTATTGAAAAGCTGAAATCCGTAAATTTATACCTAAGCTTAGACCTATGACTTGTATGAATTAAATAAGACAGACATTAAGATTAAGATTAGGATCAAGTTGTAAGCCTTACAAATTCTAGTTGTATTCGGTTTATTACCACAGCAGGTACAATCAAAATTAAACTCAAACAGAATGAATGCAGGTAAAAAGAAGAGGATTTGGAAACAAAAACTCACTGAAAAGAAGCTTGTCAAGACTCTGGCGAGGGACATACTCGTATACAAGAAGCTTCTCAGACCCATGGATACAATAACCATACAAATTCACCACATTACGGTGCTGAACACGACCCAACAACTTGGCCTCGTTAATGAACTGCGTCTTCTGCTGATTTGATCTTTGCGATAACCTCTTCACCGCAATCTCTCTCCCATCATTCAATTTCCCCCTTAATGAAAAAGAGACCAAATAAATAAAATCCACAAATTAAAATATGTCTCAGGTTTTATGCTTTAATATATTTTTTTCGAGTTGAAATTTCTGCAAAAATATGCAATACCAATATGGGCATATCATTTTAGGTTTAGAAAATTAATCAAGTTGATTGGTCAAAAAGTTTTTATTTTCATAATCCTCAAGGACACGGGTAAACTTTATTTATTTGTTGAAATATTCACTTGAACCAATTCAACCCTTTCTAAGACACTACAGCAAGAGATTGATTCAGTTAATACTTAATTAATACCTAACATGAAATGAAAAGTTGAAAACTGAATAAAAATAATGGTAATTGATTTACCTTGTAGACGGGTCCAAATCCCCCCTCACCTAGCTTGTTAAGAATGTAAAAATTCTTAGTAGCAGCGATCAATGTTTCGTAGGAGAATATCTTGTGCTCATGTGCAACTATGTTCTCTATGTCGTTGTCAGCATGTTCCTCTAATTAAATAAACTCAATCATATAAATTTAACGAATAAAAAACGATTTAAAAGAAAGAATTGGGTTGCGTTGGTCTACCTTTTCTGGATCCAAATTTGAAGAGCTTCACGAGGTTGTGAAAAATATTATTGGGGTTGGTCATGGCGCTCTATGGCTCCCAAAACGAGCCCATGAAACAAACGGTTGATCGAGCAAAACAGTGGGAAAGATGTGAGTTTGAGAATTGAAGCAGAAAAGTTGGTAATTTCTCGTAAGAGAAGTGAAAAAGACGAAGAATGTTTCTGAATAAGTTAGTTCCGTACAGAAACATCGATTCAAGCAAAACCAAGGCGTGTTGGTTTTCTCCGTATTGACTAAGTGACCCAAATCCAGGTCCACCTGTGAACACAACATTTGCTAAGCGTTCCACAACCGATTCTTTCTTTATATATATATATATATATATATATATATATATATATATAAATATATATATATATATATAAAACGAGAAGATAAAAAAATTAAAATTTAATTTGAAATAACATAGAAGAAGAATATATTTTTTTATTATTTTAATTAAATAAAAATATTTTTATGTTATTTATTGATTTTTATTTAAACAAACTATTAAGTTCAAGTTTAACTCATTAAATAGTAAATAAAATTTGTTTGTTTCAATAAATAAACACAAGTTTGACATTAGGTTCGATTATATAGTCAAATTCAAGTTTTTATATAATTCGCATTGTGTATATATGTAATGATAATATTAATTTGTATAAAATATAATATTATAAATTTATCTTAAAAATTATTGTTATATTATTTTTATGCTTAAATAAATTTACTTTTTTTCTTCATACTTTTATCTTATAAAATTATTTATTATACTTAATAAACTTAAAAACACAAGGAAATATTTGATAAATAAATAATAAATAAAATATAAATTAGTTAAATTAATCAATTTAATCATATATTTTTATTATAAGTTAAGTCTCAATTTAAAATTTTTATTTGATAAGAATTTTATTAAAATAAATTAACCTTACATTATCATTCAATCTTAAATTACAAAATTATTCACTTTTACAGTATATAATTTAAAATTTGTTTTTCAGGATAGCCTAATCAATTTTTTTAAATTATTATCTTTAACTAATTGTTAAAATATCAAAGAGTAAAAGAAATTGAAATTATAATTAAAACACATTGATAATACTAAATATTCTACTCTTCCATTAAAATAATAAATTGACTTATGAATTCTTAATCATTCTCCTAACAATAAAATTTAATTGTTAATAAACTCATATAATCATATACATTGCATGTTAATAAATTTTTAAAAATAGAATTTAAAGTCAATAGTTTTATATTATATAAAAGAACATTTTTAAAACCAAATAATTCCTATCGTAGTTAGTTTTTTTTTTCTGGGATAAAAGTTGTTTATAATTACAAAGTTAATATAAGATGTTTTAATGGTTGGATTTATTAATCTTATATTTTATAAAAAATTATTAAAAAGTGTAAGTGTTAGTACCAATAGATATTAACTTTTATATATAATAATAATAATAATAATAATAATAATAATAATTTCAGTAATAGTTAAATTATATCTCTCAACTTTTTCTTAAATCAATTCCTTAGACTCAGCGTGCTAAACTATTTTTAGGTGGAAAAACTCTTTGGTTTACACATTGATGATATAATTAGAAAGTAGAGAAAGACCTCAAACAAATTGTCTTCAATAAAAATGTAATTTGTTTGAGCAACCACAGAAGTCGAAGGCTATCAACCCCAAGTTTATTTTTAACTTTGTAATAAAAGATGGGTGATTGAAATTAGTTGCTCTCCAAACAAAGTCTCGTAAATTTAGAAACCTCTTCAATGCTTATAAATTGCAATAGCAAGGATTTATGCACCTAAGAAACAATATAGAAAACAATACTAAACGCTAGAAATTACATGGCTTCAAAATCTAAAAGCTTTATCATTCAGGTCGCTCTTGCTGTAGCATTCCTCAGAGCCTATGTTGTTTTATGTGATGACGCTGTGCCAATTCCTGCTGACAAGCTCCAATTAGACAAATGGTTCAATGACAATGTGACGCCCTTAGGTAAAAGAAAGGCCACCCTAGATTCTGCATTATTGACTGCAGAAGAAGGTGCTAAGGTTGTGAAGGTAATGCAAGATGGTAGTGGCCAATTCAAGACCATCACTGATGCCATTAACAGCATACCTAGCGGGAATACAAAGCGCGTGATTGTGTACATTGGAGCTGGAAATTATCATGAAAAAATCAAAATCGATAGGACAAAGCCTTTTGTCACCTTTTATGGGGTACCAAAGAACATGCCAAACCTGACCTATGGGGGAACTGCACAACAATATGGCACTGTTGATAGTGCTACATTGATCGTTGAATCAGATTACTTTGTAGCAGCTAATATCATGATCTCGGTTTGTATTCTATCTTCATTAAAAACCACTCTCTATTAAAACAAAAGCAAAATGATTTCTTGTTTAAGGTTGATCTTGTTACAACTTTTTGTAATTATTATTTTTGTTTTTGGCATAGAATTCTGCACCAAGACCTGATGGAAAGAGACCAGGAGCTCAGGCGGTTGCATTGAGAATTTCTGGTGACAAAGCAGCGTTTTATAATTGCAAGATGTTGGGATTCCAAGACACTATTTGTGATGACAGAAATAAGCATTTTTTTAAAGATTGCATGATTCAAGGCACTGTGGATTTTATTTTTGGAAGTGGGAAATCATTATATTTGGTACATATAATTTCATGAAATGCAATGTGCAAAGTGTTTTCATTAATTACTGTATACAAAATGTGATTAACTTTTGGGGATTTATTTTATAATGCAGAACACTGAATTGAGAGTCCTTGGCGATAATGGGATAACGGTGATAGTGGCACAAGCAAGAACAAGTGATACAGATGATATTATTTACTCTTTTGTACATTGTGACGTTACCGGAACTGGGACTGGAACTTTCTTGGGTAGAGCATGGATGTCTCATCCCAAAGTGATCTTTGCTTATACCACCATGAGCAATATTGTGAATCAATTGGGGTGGAGTGACAACAACCACCCTGATTATGCCAAGTAACTTGCTAATTCACCTTTGCATCAACATTCACTCTTTTACAACCCTACATTTACATCTATATATTGAACAATTAGCTCCATTAATAATATGTGAACGTGCGTCATCACATTGTATATATTGCATTATCCATATTATTTTTAAATAATTTTACACACCTTCAAAGTAGATTTTTGTCATATTGACCATCTCAGTGACTAAAACCTTATTTAAATTTATTTCATCATTGTAGAGAACCATAATACTTTTGCATGAGCAAAATGTGATTAATATATGATATTATTTACAGATCTGCATATTTTGGAGAGTATCAGAATAAGGGACCTGGTGCTAATCTCAATGGGCGTGCCAGTTTCACAAAGAAACTAACTTATGAAGAGGTCAAACCTTTCATAACGCTTGGCATGATTCAAGGCTCCAAGTGGCTGCTCCCTCCTCCAAATCCTTCACTCTAATTGATCATCATATCTTTCTATATAGCAAGACGAATGATTGTGTGCCACAAATGGTGGTGATGGAGAACTAGGAAAATAAAGTTGGTACTGGACACCATATTGCTCATGTTATGTAGTTTAGTGTAATGCAGTTTTTTTACCTTTAATTTTAGCTAGTGGTGCATTCAAACACACTCTCGTAACACCTTTGGAAAGAATGATAGAAAGCTTATAATTTTGGGTAGCTTTCAATCTTTTAGAAGGATGGTCAATAAATATCCATATATAAGTGAAAATATTTTTTAATTTCTATGATCGAATCCATTTAAACAGTTGAATTATATATAAAGTGAATATAATTCGTAGTTGATATAGATATAAAAGTTTTGTTAATGCAGAAAGGAGTTTAGTTTAGTGTCACGTAAAATATAAATCCCAAAGACCAACTTTTTTAAGAGAATATAATAAATATACATAAAAAAACCTAAGAATAAATCACAATAAAAATGACCACAAAAATAAAACTAAACAGAATATCTTACAACCATTTATAACTTTTATGCATTTCCTTTCTATTATTTTGTTTAGAAAGTTCAGGAGACGAGCTCAAACGGTGACTCTTAAAGGATAAATAAATATCAATCTCAAATTGTTAAATGTTTTTCCATTAAGATTAAAGTTGGATTCAATTATTTAAATAATTCAAGTTTTTTTTTTTTTTGAAGTTTGACTTTAAAACTTACAAATTAATAATTGTATGTATGTATACTTAGATAATTGTAATTTTTTATATTTGTTTTAAACTAATAATTTTTTTGTGATCATTTTACATATATAACATTTACTTTAATTTTTACTATTATATTTTAAACAAATAATAATATATTTTTCCAAAGAAATTCATCATTTACTTCTATTATACTTTACTTTTAGTATGAAGAGACCTGCTGAATACTAAATTAATTAATAAAATTTTATTTAATATTTACTATAGAAAAAAAAAAGACAGAAACAAGTTAAATATTTAAAATTTTTAAATAATTAAAATTTAAACTTTAAATTTAGTCTCATTTAAATGTATTAGTTAAGCTTGAGCATCTATTTTTTTTATGCAATTCAAACATAAATAGTAATCAACTTAATTTAACCCCTTTAAACTCCTGCTAACTCTAAACACTTAAACAAACCTGAAAAATAATCAAACTTTCAATATTTTTTTATCAAGCTTTCTCTTTGATTCCTAAACACTTATCTAAGTACTATTATTAGGTTATTATTATTATTATTATTTTAAAATCATGGTAATATTAATTTTTATGCTAATTTTAAGATTTAAAATTAGTAATTTTTTTATAGAAAAAAATTATTTATTATAAGAGTTTAGGTTAATGTTTTTTAAGTATTAATTAACAAAAAACAATTGATTTACCAAAATTAATTATCTTATACATGGTAAAAAAATATTTATATAAAATCAATCATACCTCAAAACTATTCAGGATAAAAACTTGTTTTAATGAAAAGAGAATACAAAACTTTTGTTAATGTTAATAAAATAGGGTTTATACTTGTTGAAAATTGATAAGTTTGAAACCAAAAGCTTGTTTTAAAAACACAATTAGGAGTTCAAAGAGAATTTTATAAAGATTTTAAAGTTTAAAAG